CCCCGCCCCGGCCCTGGCTAGAAGATGCTGCCCACCCCCTTCTCGGTAAAAGACATCCTCAACCTGGAACGGTCAGGACCCACCGGGGGACCCCACGCCGTCCCCGTTCCCCGGGCTGCCCACAGCCCCGGGGGGGGGGACGAGCCACCGCCACCCAGTAAGTGACCCGTGGGGTTGGGGGGGGGACACACGACAATCCCATGGAACCGCTTTCGTTCCCCCGGGGTTGGAAACCCGAGGGGTGCAGAGCAGCCCGTTGCATCCTCCAGCTCCGATTCCACCCGAGACCCGTGTACCCGTGGATGGTTTTCCACCCCCCACCTTTTTTTTTTTCTTTGGTTTTTGGGGGGTTATTCGGGGCTTTTTCCGAGCAGCCCCCCAAGCCCTGCATCCCTCCCGTGCGTCCTGGCTGCCCTCAGGGAAAAGAAACAGCCCAGGGTAGGGGTATAACCGGCTCGTTTTAGGGTGGTTTTTTTGTTGTTTGGGGTTTTCTTTCTGCAAGGCACAAATCGCCACCGATTTGATACAAATCCCTGTTTCGATGCTCCATATATTTGTCCAGCGGGGATGCTGCTCCGGAGCGGCCGCCGAGGGGGGGATCAGATGGGACCCCTTTCTCCCCACCGCTAAAATCCCACCAAATATCCTTTTGCTCGTGTTTCCCTAATGCCCGGTAGCTGAAGAGCGGAGAAACGGGGAAACCAGTAAGACCAGAGCCTGAGCACTGGGTAGCACTGGGATACGGAGCCAGAGAGGGAGAGGGGAGCCCGGGGAGAGCTCCCTGCCGGCTTCATACCTGCAGATGGAGCCCTCCAGCACCCCATTTCCCTGCAGCCCCCCGAAAAATTCCCTGAGCCCCTGCTGTGGCTGGCAGGCTACCCCAGCACATCCCACCAGCCGGGGAGCGACCACCGTGTAAGACCCCCGGCTAGCTCGCCCGCAACACAAAAACCCAGCGGATGATAAAAAACCAAACTGCTTTCCATCTTCTCACAGATCTAACAATTTTCCCTCCTCCATTCCCAGTCCCTTCATTTTTCTGGCTTTGCTTCGATTCAGAGAGCTGCGGGATTCCCTGTTCTCAGCCGCCGGAGGTAAATCCTGCCAGCGGTCTGACTGCCATCGCTTCCATCCCTCCGGAGCAGGACGGTGGGGAAGGGGATTTGTGTTTTGGGATATTCAAACCTGCACCGTATCCTGCTTCCCCCTGTGCCTCTCCGGGCTGGGGCTGCCACGCGCATCGTTAGGAGGGACCGAAAGGAGGCATTGTCCAAAATTCACGTAACAGTCAGGCTTCTAATTCCATCCCCCAAAAAAGGAATTTTCTTGAATTCCCATTAAACATCACAGAAATGTTCATATTAAATTTAGCAACTATCAACCCTGCTTCCTCTTATTGCCGAGGGTCCCCATTCCCAATTTGTTCCCTCCTTCGGAAACACACTCTCACTGGGAACAGAACCGGTCTTGGGTCTCACTTTGCTTTGGATATTTCTCGCTGCAGGAAAATGTTTGCTTGCCCACCCTTTCGAGGCAGACGAGAAGAAAGCCGACGCCTGCCACCATCCCAAGCAGCGACAGCGGAGAAAACCCCGCGTTTTATTCTCCCAAACTCAGGTGTTTGAACTGGAGCGGCGATTTAAGCAACAGAAATACCTCTCCGCTCCGGAAAGGGAGCACCTCGCCAGCGTGCTCAAGCTTACCTCCACGCAGGTGAAAATCTGGTTCCAAAACCGAAGGTACAAGTGCAAGAGGCAGAGGCAGGATAAATCCCTGGAGCTGGCTGCCCACCCGCTGCCCCCGCGGAGGGTGGCAGTGCCCGTGCTCGTCAGGGACGGCAAACCCTGTCTCGGGGGGTCCCAGCCTTACCCAGCCCCGTACAGCCTCACCGCCAGCCCTTACTCCTATAGCTCCTACTACAGTGCCTATAGCGGCGGCCCGTTCGGTGCCAGCTATGGGGGGGGGTACACCGGGGTGACCCCCAATGCCGTGAACGTGAGCTTGGGTATGGCCAGCGGTGCTCAGCACCAGCCCGCGTGCTTGCAAGCCGCCGTGCAAGCAGGGATCAGGGCTTGGTAGACGGCCACGGAGGACAGGACCGCCCGAGAAGTTGCCGAGGAAAGCCCCCCCCTCCGCTCCAGACTCCAGCTTTCGTCGGGACTGGAGACAAATCCGGAGGGTTTCTGCCACCCCGGACAGTGGGACGTCTCCGGAGCATCCGTCCCCTCCAGGTAGCTCATGCCGCTCCAGCATTGCGACTTTGGGGACCCAACGACCGAGGGCATTTATTTATTTGAACACAAATGTTTCGGAGTCTGGCCTTTCCCGCTCCTACAGAGGATTTGGTCCTCCAGGATGCCAGTGCACGGCCATCGAGAAGGTATGAACACTGGTTTTCTTCCTAAGGACAGCTGGAAAACAGGGTCTGTGCATGCCACTGTGCATTCACTTTTTTATAAACCATATTTAATGCTTTGAGTTCCTCTAATCTTTTGAGATACATTTCTGATATATATTTCTTAATAACTTCCAGCACAGGTGTTCATTTCTGTCTTTATTATTATTATTATTTGCAAATAAAAACCAAACTGGTGAAATTGTGTTGTTTCACTCTCTCGCCATTCCTCACTTAATATTTTTACTTTTTCTATCCACAACTTGCATTTGAGCATCAAAATCTGATCCAAAGAAAAAAACCCCAAATCAATCTTAATACTAACAATTAACCCAGAAAATTAATTGCCTTGTAGTCCAAGCTTGCCCTCCCTAACTCTTGGCAAATGTTTTCAGCTTTCTGTTGCTATTCCCTTACTGGTAAAATGGGTTTGCAGGTACGTGGTGGGGCAGCTGCGAGGGGCAGCTCACAGCATCTCACGGTGGGTTGGTGTCGTCCGAATTACACCAGCGTCACCGGTGCTGAGCTGAGAGGTGCAGGATCCCCAGATCAGGATCCATTGGCATCAAGTGCCTTGCTGGATCAGAGGACTGTATGTATATTTCTATATACACCTTTCCATATCTATTTATGAAATGCAGGAGAGCTGGATGCCATTGCAGTGTGCCGGGGAGGATCAAAGGGGAGCACAGCCCCATCCTGAACAGGCAGCATGAATCTACGGCCTCACGTTTACAGAATAAACCCAGTAAGCCCCCGTTAGACTGACCCACTCATCGGGCTGCCCATGGCCCCCCAGTAGAGGCTTTACTTATAGCGGGGAGGGGGGGAAAAAACCCACACAAAAGTCATCATCTGATGCAAAATGTTAGTTTAACAGAGATTTTTCCAAGATATCCCAGTGAAGGAGCCAGACAACAACCTGCGCACAACTCCCACCGCACGGGACGGGCAACATTTCCCCCTCGCAACCTCCATCCCCGCTCCAGGCTGCTGCCCTCTCCTCCCCACTCCTTTCCCGACAGCTTCTTATCCTCCCAGTGTTTGACGAAAAGAGACTTGCAGGAGGCAATTAAGCTTTTATCTCTAATCCCCACTCAGCCCCAGCACTCCGGCGTTCGCTCGCTTCCCAAATGGGACATCCCTGACATCCCAATCAAACCAGAAAAACCCTCTCGGCGAGATAGCTTGCTCGCCGTCCTGCCGCTCCGAGGCTTTGCAGCCCCACCGAGACCCTGGAAAAGACTGGGTAAGGCGTCAGCCGTGATGGGTGCTGCCCCTTCTCCTCCCCTTCATCCATCCACATTTATTCAGGAATATCTCCCAAAATCAGCTGAGTCTTGGGTCTCTCTCCTGGCTTTGGAGCAGCCAGGGGACTCGACAGGGTCCTTGCACCGGGAAATGCTGTGGGTGTCAGGGAAAGCCCCTGCAAACAGCAGCATCCCCAATGCACGGGTTCCCCTGCAAGTCTTAACAACACTGAGAGTTTTTCCTTTGAGGTTCAGCAACAAAATGAGGCAAATCACATGAAGCTCCCCCCAAATAAACACAGAAATCAAAGAAGGAAATCGCTACCCTCCCCAGATCAGAAAAAAGCCTGAAAACGGGAATCATTTATGCCCCACCATACATTTTGGAGGGTTTTCCCAAAAGCCCAGTTCCCATAGGGTTGGGATACCCTTAAAACCCTGGTGTTTGCTGGATCCCCTCTGTCACCTTCCTCTCTGCAGCACATGCCAGGGCTGTTGCTTTAAACCTCCCCTGTTTCCAGCCCAAATCAGAAATGACCCGCTACACCAACCACTGTAAAAACGAGCTTTCTCAAACACCCCGCTGTACGCAAACCAGTCCACTTTCCCCCAAAACCTTCTCCCGGACCAAAATTCCTGTCCTGGGCCAAATCACTCACTGCTCATCAGCTGTGGGTTATTTTCACCAACTGAGCTACGGATGCGGGCACCGGCAATGAAGGGACAAGAGACTCGACCACAAAAGAGCCGTGCAACGAGGCTGCCCAGGACAGACCTACAGACAGAGGGGTCGAGCAGACGGACGGCACCGGGAGATTTTACTAATGGTTATGGTAAAGCTCTGGCTGCAAAGCAGAGGTGTTAACAGCCCAGCTCTATTTGCAGGAAAACGCTTAATTGAAATGAAATGATGCCCCTGGAAGGAAGGGAACTGCCCAGGTTCTGGGGAGAGAAGCCCTTCTGCTGGGTCTTATGTTCACGTATTTGTGCTAGAGCCCCAAATAGTTACAGGTGCACAACAGGCTGAGTCCCTGGGTGTGCAGGCACGTGCTGATCTCCGACAGCAGCAAGGGCAGCCTAAAATCAGCAGGGGTAGGGTCTCTGCAGTGGGGAAAATTGGCTCCCAAATTCAGCACAGAGTGTCCCCGGGGAGCAGCACGGCTTCCCGACCCGAGCGAGCATCCTCCCACGGCACGGCACGGCACCCACGGTCACGCCGACGTGCCGTCGGGCAAGCCCAGCTGGGTGCGTGCCAAGCCCTGGTCCTGCCAGGGCACCCACCGGTGACCCTCGGGGCTCCCCCTCCACCCCAACCCCCCCTGAGCAGCACAGTGGGATTCAGATTAAATGCTGGAAGGACCGGGCAGGGAGCCGTGGGGCAGCCCACCCACCCACCACAGCAGCACCTTCCACCCACCTTCCAGCACTTTCTGAATTCCCTTTCTTGGACTATAGGAGGATAATGAGGCTGAATTATTGAAGCTACTGAATTTTCCAAGCATACGGTGAATATAGGGGGGCATTTTCTAAGCCAGGAGCATCAGCAGGTTAAAGAATGAGAGAAAAGGGTAGGGTAAAAGCAGGGTTTGGGGCACGGCTGCACAACCTGCTCCGGGCTTGGGGCTGCCGTAACCAAACACCCTCCTATAAAATCAACAAAGTCCTCCGGGGATTTCAAGGAAATCCATTGTTTCCCTTTTTAAGGTTAAAAAAAAAACAAAACATGCCTGGGCTTTTCAGCTGAGGGACTGGCTTTGAGTGAAGGCTTTAGGAATAGAAGAGGTGATCAGTGCTACATTATTCCAACAGCAAAAGGAGTTTGCAGACAACAGGGCTATAGGGGGTCACTGTGTGTGTGTGTATATATATATATACATACGTGTGTGTATACATACACATATACATACATTTGTGTGTGTGTGTATATATATATATATATACACACACAGAGGGTGCCTGCACTTCCCAGGGATGCTGCTCAGCTGCATCCATGGAGCTGAATCCTGCTCCCACAGGGGCTTGCCCACCAGATTGCTTTGCCTTATGATGGGGCAAGGTGATTTTTTAATCATGTGCTGCCCACATCTCGGGGGGAGGTTTGCGGCTGTTTGTGTGGTGAGCGGGGAGTTGTTTTCCAAACAGAAACTCTAGAAGAACAACTACAAATAAAGCAGATACTCAGAAAAAAATCTGTTATAACAGAGAGCTCGACTCACAGTTTTTCTTGGAATTGGGAAAGTTTTGCTCCTTTCGGGTGCCTTTGAACACGAGGCCTTGCAGCATGGTGTATAAAGGTATTAAGGCTTCTTAAATAAATGCTGTCCCATTCCACAGCTGGTCGAGGAATTAGTCTGAGGTTTAGGCTTAAATTTTCATGTGAACCCTTTGCCCCTTTCTGTGCAAGCATTTGCTTCTGGAGCCACTCTCCCTGTCTGTTATATCTTAACTTTCATTTTAAAGCTCTTGTTAGGGCAGCTTTGCAAAGCTGATGAAAATGTCTCTGACTTTTTCACCCTGTTTTTCAACAAACTGAAAGCGCATCAAAGCGGAAGGTTTTGAAGAAAACCCTCACAGCCCTCAAAACACTAAACACCCCCCCCCCCAATCCTTTTATTTTCTTCACTTTTTTCCCCTGAAAACATCATTTCCCCAAAGAGCTCTAGGGATTGCCCTGGGACATAAATCATTTTCATAACTAGGAGCAAGCAGAGCACCGGCTCGCTGGGGCTGGGTCAGGGGATGCAGAAGCCGTCCCCTTGCAGAGCATCCTTCGAAGGCAGCGACACTGCTCCCCCCTCCTCTCACCAAAACCCCCACCCTGGGAGCATTTTGATCCCCAAAAGGATGAATTCACTAAGGCATCTTTCTCTTCATCGTAAAAGCTCGGGGGTGATTTGCCAGCAAGGGAGCATCGGGAGGGGCAAAGGAGGAGGCTGAGGTTTTTGGCTGTGACCCCATGGATCTGTGGGGAAGGGTGACCGGAGCAAGAGGGAGAAGCCAGCAGCCAGAAAACCCAGGGGAGCCAAGAAACGACCGAAGGGCGTAAACTCCTGCCAGGGATCTCCAATCAGGCCCCGGGAGGCTTGGCTGCCTGCCGTATAAATGCAAAGCCGGGAGGGTGGGAAACCAGCGTGCCTCTGGGCAGGGAGAGGAAGAGGAGGATGAGTGCCGGGGTGCTCCCTGCAAGGAGGCAGAGAGCACCCAGCAGCACCCCAGCAGGGATGAGCTGGACCCCGACGGTAGCCCAGCAGACCATGCCCATCTCCTCCAGGCCCCGGACATCCTTCCTCATCCAAGACATCCTCTGGGATGGGGCAGAGAGGGGAGCGTGGCCGGAGCGGGGCGAGAACGGAGAGTTTGGCAGCCCGGAGGACGGGGAGCCGGGGGCGGCCGTGGCGAAGGGCGACGAGGGCAGCTCAGCCCTGGGGGCTGCCCCAGGGCACCCCCCCGGGGGTCCTCATCCCCCAGGAGCATCCCCAGCCCAAACCCGAGGGACACCCCACGAGGCGGACGCAGGTAAGGGGGTGGAAAACTCCTGGCTGAGCCCACTGGCTGGGGAATGGATCAGCAATGTCTACGCTTGGGTTAACCGGGGGGCAGGATCCTGACCCGGCTGCCTCGAGCACCCCAGAGCCAAATAACTCGTGTTTTAAATACCAGAGAGTGTCTGTGCTTTAGCAGTGGGAAAGTAAGAGAAATAGCAACTGCATGCAAATCTTTCGCCAGGCGCTTCAAATAATTCGAAGGACTGAATTTGGCTAAAATGCCTTTAAAAAAAACCCAAACAGTCGATGCATTTCTGCGATATCTTGGGAAATAAAGTTCCCTTTACATGCAGAAGGTCCCCAGCAAAGGCACCGTGGGGTGTCTCGGAGAGGCAGTTTGTGCCCATCCTTCACGCAGCCATCAGCGCGGCGATGCCGCCGCAGCCGAGCTCATCAGTGCCTCCGGTCCGGGGATATTTTGGAAGTCCCCGTGTTGAATTTGTGCTGTTTGCAGCAGGGCTCAGCTTTCCCGCGTGCTCAGCCCTGATTTCACAGTGTGTACCACTGCACATCGCGTGCTTTATTAATAATGAGCCTGCTCCTCTTGCCACAGCATCCCTTTCTAGCATGCCATTGCTAAATTCATTGCAGACAATAATGTTTCACTGCAGAAGCAACATACCAAAAATCACACTCAGAAGCAAATTTTTTTGACCGGTGCCTCTAGCATTGCAGCAGCACGAGCACGGCCGGGGCTGTGGGAGGGAGCTCAGCCTTTCCTTGCCCAAGCAGTCCTGGGCCGAGCTGCAACAGCCAAAAAAGCGATTTTGAACTCTCTAGCGACCGGCTCTTGCTTGCTAAGAGAGCCCTTGCCAGGGGAATTTTGGCTTTACGTTTCAATTCTATTAAAAGAAGCTTCTACATAAAAGCAAGTTCAGAAACAGCCACCAGGCTGATCATTACGAAAATCATTAAAAGCCATAGCAAATCTCCCAGAAAGTGGCTAGTGTAAATCAGCGCAGCTCCAGGGATTTCAGTGGGACAACCATGATTTGCACAAGCTGGGAATTAAGCTTGTTGTTTCTATCTATCTCGAGCATTACGTTCACATCTTAAGAAAATATACTAAGAAATGACTAAAGGAAAAAAAAAATTGGCCTATTTCCATCCCAAGCTGGGTAATACACAAAAAGGAACTAACTGCATAAATAAAATGACTTAAGAAGTTTTAAGGGTTATAGGTGACCGTTCCCAGGGAGCTCAGCACCTTTCTGGGTCACGGCTTGGATGATCGAACAGTGCCACAAGAAATAAGTTGGAGGCAAACACTGAGATGCCGCTTTGGAGCTGTGATCCAAGGCCAGGTCTGCAGTTATATATGTAAAGCCAGGCCTGGAGGTTTAAAAATCTGCCTCAAAATTTCTTGGCATTGCCTTGGAGTCATCAAAGAGAAAAGGGAGGAATTTCTTTTCAACACTTTTCTAACTGCAGTCTGCTTCAGGCTGCACCAATTTCCCATTTCTGAGCTATCCTCTGTAGCTTGAGGATAGAAACTTGTTTAATCTGAGGATCAGGATTTTCCCATAGGCACAGCAGAGAGGATGTTTCAAAGAAGTGCCTAATAGAACGAATTCTGTGATAAAAATCTCAAGAGCTGTTGATGCCATAATGTACATAACAGCAGTACCTTCAGGTTTTAGGCAGACCTTCACCAGCACCGCAAAATAGCCCTTTCTGTATTATTTGAGTCCCTTGAATGTACGTTCATATTGAATGCATGCTTATATGAATTAAGAAAGTGTGATTTAGGAAGAAAAAAACTCCCTTATATGACTTCAAGGTGGTGTTGACTCCATTAAATAAAAATATTTCCAGGATAATAGGAATATTTTGCTCTCTGGAAGGGAAAAAGCAAGTGATTGGGGAAATTTTCAAGCGGGTAATTCTCAGCTCATTCCTCCCACAGATACCACGGCAGAGACCTACCTGTCAGACTGTGACCCCCCGCTGCGACCCCTGCCCATCGCCCAGCACCCCCCCAAGCAGGCGAAGCGCTCGCGGGCGGCATTCTCCCACACCCAAGTCATCGAACTGGAGCGGAAATTCAGCCACCAAAAATACCTGTCAGCCCCCGAGCGAGCCCACCTGGCCAAAAACCTGCAGCTCACCGAGACGCAGGTGAAAATCTGGTTCCAGAACAGGAGGTATAAAACCAAGAGGAAACAGGTCGCCTCCGAAATCAGCAGACTGGACACGCGTCTGGCCGGGCAGAAAGCGGCCGAGATGCCCGGAGCATCGCTGCTCGCGCTGCGGGGCGGCTGGCAGTACCTGCCTTGCCTCTATTACTTGAACGGCTGGAGTCCCTCCTGGTGGTAACCACTTTTTTAAGCGGAAAGCATCCTTTTCTCTTAATTTTTTTTTTTTTTTTTAATACTGCGTCGCTCTTTCTAGTGCTAATTAGGGGAAGGAGACCCCATTTGTAGTAACAATCAGCATCTTCTAGTTGCCGCACGAGCTCTCTTGTCGCTAACAGTAAAAAAACAAACAAACGAAAAAGCCAAAAAAGCCCAAGATATTAAAAGCGTGTAATTCAGCATGCTTAATAGCACTGCTCTGGGGTCAATCTGCAGCCGTAAAATATTGCAGGCTCTTTCGGGGGCAGAAAGGGATGGTCCAGCCCCAGAGACAGCGATCTCCCCTCTCTGCCCCTCCTAAATCACTTGTGCCCCCCTGAAGCCTTTGGTCCTTGCTGAGATCAAGCAGGCAAAAAGCAAACTGCTGATCCTGGGCTGGCACTGATGTGGCCCCCACTCAGCCACTTGGGCCACCAGCTGTTGTATGATCTAAAAATCAAAAAAAAAAAAGGCAAAAAAATTTGCATTTCTGCCATCGATATCGTAATTGCTAATGGTCCCAGAGGGGACTTAGAACCCCCCCAAGTTTTTCTGCGTGCTGTCGGGCAGCACCGCAGCCTCCACCCGGGGCATGTGGCTTTTGGGGAGAATTAAACCCCTTTCTGCCATGAGCGACAACAACCTGAAGTGCCTGACGGCCACGGAGCTGCAGCCGGGGACCAGGTTTGCTGGGACGTGAGCGAAGGTGACCGCCCCGGCCGGGATGGAGCCCTGCCAGCTTACCCCCACCCAAACCCGTCTCTCTGCTCTTCGACAGCCACTGCCTTAACAACCTTGAGAAGCCAAACCAGAAAGCCTCGGGAACACGGACAATAGCGCAATGACAGATGAGTTTTGCATATCCGGGTGTTGACGCTGTTTGAACATTCCCATATAAGCTATCTAAAATAGCAACAGCTCGAAGAGTTCAACGTTCCCGTCAGCTTTCAAAGCAGCAAACTCCCCGTTCGCAAGTAAAATCAGCCCGATTCCCAGTGCCAAGGCATCAGGGCAGCAAGAGGATGATATCTTTACAAATGCTTTTTTACTGAGATGACAACTATTTGCACTAGCAGAGTAGCAAAGATTTTTTTTTTTTTTTTGGTAACTAATCATACTTAAAACTTTAGATGCCACTAAGTCCGTGGGAGAAAGTGTAGAAATAAATGAGATTTCCAAGAAAGGCAACACATCAACTGCTTTTTCTCAGCTAGTGTAAATCAGCATAGCTCTGCTGGAACAAATTTAATCTTCTGAAACAAAAATACATGGAGGTTTCTTCCCTGTGAACCTCCATAAATGTTCCTGTGGTGCCTGTTCTTTCCGAAAGAGAATTAAAAATCACAGTGGTCCAATTCCCTCCTGCAGCAGGGAAATACAGTCAATTAAATAATGTTAAGAAACTGCTTAGATCTGTCCCTTTTAACGAGATTATTTGGAAACTGATCTTTTGCCTTGCCAATCCACGTGCAAGCTCGCAGACCTAGCAAAGACGAAGCTGCTGGGGCTGCGTGGATGAGGAAAAACTCAGGGGAGGGGAGGACAGGGAGAGGAGAACATGCAAACTGAAACCCTTTGTGGCAGATATTCATTCGCTCTTGCTATCAAAGCTGCCTGCTCAATTTGGAGGACAAGCAGTTGCTTTCTAATTGTCTGAAAGTAACCCCTAATATCTCGAGACAACATTTTTCTTCCAGCTCCTGCTCTCAGATGCTGCGTATCCCCCAGCCCGTTCTCTCACAGCCGGTATTCAGGCCAGAAGGCCATCTCCCCTGCCCTGTTGCAATATGTTTCAAACCCAGCCCTGCTGCTTATCCACTTTGCACTTTGCTTATCCGCTGCTTGGAACAAAAAAAAAAAAAAAAAAAAAAGGCAAGCCCTTATGGCCTCGAAGCCAAGCCCCCGCAGGGCACGCATCCCTCCTGACGGCATCTCCAGGGGGAAAAAGTCCTGCTGAAATCCCATGGGCTCACCCACACCCAGACCCTTGGGATGCTACTTAAATCAATGCAGAGACACTATATTTGCACTAAATACACTGGATTAGCAGCTCTGACCATCCCGGAGCTGCCCCTGAATAGGGAACACGGAGTGTCCTTTGCACAGACAGCGGAAGAGCAGCAGGGATGGGCACATTATGCTGGGAAGGACTGAATTGGGCTGGGAAAATTAGATATAAACTGAAAATTAGATATAAACTGAACTTCTTGGACGCTTCTTTGGGAAAATGTTTCTGTCATAGCTACTTTTTTTTGCCCACTATTGGTTGACAACCAGTAAAATATCCTTCTTGTTGCTTCAACGCCCAACTGCTCATACTTAACTTTGCTGGTATAAAGCAAGTCAAGTGCAAATAGTGGCTATTTTTATATGTATTTTTTTATACTATTTTATCTGATGTGCATTGTCCTTTGGAATAAAGAGTGCAGAGTCTTTATTAAAAACAAGCTGCCTCTGTGGTTTTTTTTGCCCTGGGTTGGGATTTTCTTTTAATCCCTGTTTCTGCCAAGGAATGACCATGGCTGTCCCACCAGCACCAGCTTCTCATGTGAACAACCGTTGCAGACACTGCACTCAAGTGAGTTTTGTGCAACGAATTGTCACAAGTGCCAGCTCACGAGGTTTTGCAGGTGGTAAATCATCATTCAGCCCTCTTTCTAGGTGCTCAGCACCAAGTGCTGCTCCATCACTCATCCAGCCAGGTATAGAGTACCTCTGAGCATCCTCTAATCCCATTTACTGCCCGATGAGCGTGAAACAGGTGACTGTTTCCCAAAAGTAAGAGCTTACGTAGTGAAGTACTTCATCACCCCCAAATTACCCGTAATCCCACAATTTAAGCATAATCCCAGTGGCCTCTAGAGCTTTGCACTACAAGCACTGGTCGCAGTTTTTATTTCTGCCCTTGCCTTCCAGTCCCGCAACCACGTCAGGGGAGACAGGGGCAACTCCATAGGACCATCAGGAGAATTAATTCATCGTGGGAGCTGTCGGCACGAACGCATCCCCCTCGTACAGAGACGGAGAGGGACCGACCTTGGGTCCCAGCCTGCCCGGGCACACACTCCCTCGCCTCTGCTGTCGGCAGCAGCAACTTTTCCCAAAAGGAAAGTGAGCTGAAACACCATGACTCCCAGCTTAATTTTGTATTTAATGAGCTTTAAAATAAAATTAAAAAAAAAAAAGCCAAAGCAGGCATCAAGATGGTAAAAAAGAGATCTCAAGGAGTTCCTATTGCCTTAGGAAACCGGTGCTGGATCCTCACCAGCCAAATCCTCAGGCTGGCACAGCCAGCCAGGCTCCGCTGTCTTCACCCGGCAATGTTGGGGAAGGGAACAACAGCTCCCGTACGTGGGTGACCGTTTGTCACAGGCAGTGACAAGCAGCGGGTCCCTGCAGCCAGGGCTGGAACTCAGCTCTCCTCCCCCTGCACTAATCCTGCCAGCAGCGCCATCCTGCTTACGGGATCTGCCTTCTTCCTAACCCAGACCAAAAAGGCCATCGCGCCCCGAAGTTTGCCGCGACACAGGCACAGCAAAGTGCGGTTTTTTTTGCGGGGCGGGCATCTGCCAAAGCGGGTTCGGGGGCTGCCAGCGGTGCGGGTGGGAGGCAGGGATGCAGGCAGCAGCGCCGGCTCCTTCGCAGCCTCTGCCGTGGAGAAACATCTTGGCTGACTCAGCCCTGTGGCGAGCGCTGCCCTCCCTCCTCTCCTTCCCAACCTTTTTCTCTGCGAGCCCCAAGTGGTTTCTTTATGGACAGAAGATAGACTTCCAGTTGGTTTTTTCCTTTTTTTTTTTTTCCAAGCACAAAGCACGAGGACAAAAAAAAGGGGCTGTACCCTTTGGATAACCAGATCATCCGAGAGTGTTAAGGCATTAATCACAACAAGAGGAGTGACATGGCAGGCTGTCCTGGTGATAAATATCCCCTTGATTAATACAGAAGAGAAAAATCCCGCCCTAACTATGGAGATGTGGAGTTTTAATAAGCCTTAAACGAAGCAGAACTCCTGTTTGTACGCAACTAGAAACAGAAAGCATCATTAATGTCTGTCAATTAGCGTCACGCTCCGCCGCTAACATATCCGTCAAGATTAAAGTGTCTAATGCTGACATAACATTTACACTTGTTTGTGCCAAATCATTTATTTAAAGCTAAAAAAAAAAAAAAAGAAAAAAGGCTGCCTTCGGATAATGTAACTGTTGACTAACATTTGCATGCAATAAACCACATACTTGGCAAGGGCTCGCAGGAGTGGAGCCAAGAAAAATCTTCAACTTGACCTACACAACATTTGCAAACCAGAGCAGTGGGAACAAGTTCGCTACACGGAGCTAAATAGGGGATGGAAAATGCAAGGACACCCAAAGTGCCAGGCTGTATCAGACCAGTGTTTCACCCCCGGTTTTGGTAGCTGGTTAGTACAAAGATGCTTTAGAGGGGAGTGCAGAAAACCTTTCAGCATCAAGCACTAGGATGAGTCTTTTGGGATGTGCGGACACTTCCCAAGGAAAGAGGCAAGCTAAGCCATAAAGCACAAGGATTTAGAGCTCTTAAAAACCCTTGAGGATTTTCAATATTTACTATTCTTATTGTAGATGCTCTTGTCATCCATAGAAATGCTTCATCTCTTTCTAACCCAGCTAGAGCCTCGGTGACAAGGAGTCGCACAGCCCATTTTGAGGTGCTGGACCACCCGGTGCTTCCTCCAGCCTTGAGCCATCCTGGCAGCAGCAGTGCCAAAGGGGACACAGGGAAGCATAGGAGAAGCCGAGTGGCACAGTCATCGAGGTAGATTTTCACCACGATGGACAGCTAACAGGGAAAGAAAAGGGGGAAAAAAAGAGAAAAAAAAAAACAAACCAAAAACTTTGGAGATGTGGCAAAATGCAGCTTTGCAGATTGGCGTTCCCATGGGAAACTCCTTTGCTGCCTCTCACAAAAATTCAAGGCGCATTCCTCCTCTTTCTTCTGTTATGGTCTGGGCACCATTTATTAAGAACAGCCGAAGACAGAGAGAAATCCGCAGCGAATAGCCCTGGAAGTGCTTCCAAAGCCGTCTGCCTGTGGTAATTTATGGCAGCCCACTCGCAGAAGGGAAAGTCAAGAGATAAGACAAGTATTTTTACAGGAAAAACCGTTAGGAGCGAAGCATATATGGATGGATTTTGTGTTGAACTGCTCTGGTCTTGGAAGAAAAAGGAAACAGGGCAAAGAAAAAGGCTTTTGGAGTCAGGTACCGGGTGTCCGAGCAGATGGACTCAGGCTCATAGCTTTATCCCCCAGCCCAAAATCGGTCACCTTGCCCCAGCCTCGCCGTGGACTCACCG